TCAAATGTTTTCATGTAGAATGCCTACTTAAAAGATTAAAATGGCTGGGACAAACCTGTGTGTGTGTATATTTTAGCTTCTCAGATAGGAAAATCATGTTCCCAATATGATAGACACCTATTATATATTAATTACTATATTAATATTAGTATATTAATAGGAGCCCTGGTACACAGTGGTTAAAGTGCTCAGCTACTAACCGAAAGGTTGGCAGTTAAAACCCACCAGCCGCTCTGCAGGAGGAGGATGTGGCAGTCTGCATCCATAAGGATCTACAGCCTTGGAAACCCTATGGGGCACTTTTATTCTGTCCTACAGGGTTGCTATGAGTCAGAATCAACTCAACGAGTGGGTTTTGGGGTTTTAGTATATTAATATGAGACACCTTCATAATGAAAAAGGTGGCTTTCAGAAAACTCAATTATAAACATGAATTGGTAGGATCCAAATTATGGTGGTTAATCATCTTTTTTAAAGAGATTTTTAAAAAATGTGATTTGAGGTCAAAGCTTTTCTAATAAATACTTTTAAATGGTTATTACCTTTTGTGTTGGTCATTGCGTTGGTAGGTATACAGGGAGTACTTGCATGAGAAGAAACCTATATGATAAATTTTCCATACCACATAAAAGCATAAGTAGTACCATGAATTCACTTCCCAATAACAATGATGGAGGAATTAAAGCTGAATGTATTGTTTGTTTTACTATAATTTAAAGCCTCTGTGCTCAGGCAGTTTTAGGACTGCTTTTCCATCTTTCACAATGGAAACTGTGTTTACAAATCTTATGAAATATAATGGATTTATTTAGTAATACAGTATGCAGGATGATGATTTTCTCATGCTAAACTACTACCTGTGTTGAACTTTTTAAGAAACCAAGTTCATCTGAGGAAAAACATCAACAGCATGCAAGTTTTCATAGCATGTAGACTGTCAAGGGAACACTCCAGGTAGCAGCAGATAACAGTTACAACAGTTACCGGATTTTGTCTGGTAAAATAATCCAATAAATATTTTTTGATGAAAGATCTTAAACAAAAAAATTACATAAAATTTAGTTCAACATAATACCCCAATAATGATGCAGTGCCATGTTAAGAGCAGATAAAAGGTTTTTAGAAAATGGTAGGTTTTAGATACTAAACCTTATCAAATTATAAAATTTTTAACTAGAAGTAAAACCTTACCAAATTAGTACACTAGAGTTTCCAAGGAAATAGAATTATTTTAGAAAGACTGTATTTTTGAAATTCAAAACATGTCTACTAACTAGGAAAGATAATTTACAGATGAATACAACCAAGTTTTTTAAAAATGGTTAACGACCTACCAACACAACACAAATGTTTCACGAGCAGAACAAGCTATCCCCCCACTTTCCTGATTTCACTGTAAACGTAAGAATCACAAGAATATTCTAGAACCACAAAATGAATAATTGAACATATTTGGTATTTGGGCTTTCCGAGATCTGTTTTTAGAACTTTATTTTACAAGTGGGTAATGTACTTTTAATTTTTTACTAACATTTTTCTCTTAGAGATACAATTTAGATACTCATATCTTAAAGCAAACACTCATTTATCAAAATGACATACAGGTATAACTGTTAGGCTACTTATTGGTATCCAAACCATTAGGAATTTTATTTCAGCCAAGACTCTCTTTCATTGTTTGTACGCAACTCCAAGAACACCAGTTTATCAATTTATGGTTTAGTGGTCACGATCAAGGCAAATGATACTCTTCAGGTGAACAGATACAGGTCAGTCATTGCTGAGCCAATTTAGGCCTATTCTGTTATGCCCACCATTTGGGACAATCCCTTGTGAATAGTTAATTACCTAGGAAATCAAATGTAAATAAAATACTCAAAAGTGAACCTATGTGATGGACATTAATGTGGTTGATTTTAGCCTAAATTTATCAGTTCCTCCTATATGTTCTACAGATGCAATGATTTCTTTTCCTTGGTCAGTGAAGAATTTGTACTTCCTGAAAATACCTTTATCTTTCTGTCCATGAGAACAGCATCCTTTTTATTTGCCCTTGTCTTCTTTGTTTTGAATATATAATTCAGAGGTTTACAAGCTTTTCCAGTGACTACATTTCAGTTTGTACTTCATCAGGAAGCATTTGAGAAGATGTTTTTATTTTATAGGTTAACTATTTTAAATTCATTATTGGTCAAGTTAGTCATGGGCAATTTTCTTGTAGAGAGCAATTCCAAACACAATAAATAGATACTTGCTAGCACTAATGAACACTTTCTGACCTCCTCCCTAATATATGAGGATCACATGATACTTTACTATCCATAATCCTCAGTCAACAGACCACGGGGAATTTCTGGAAAAACAAGGGAATACAGCATTAGACTGGTCCAGAAAAAAGAAGCCAACACATTTTAATGGCTAAGTTTTCAGTAAAATTCTTAGCTGTCTACAATATTCCTTTGAAGTTTTCTTATTAGACTGGAACATGAATTTTAGAATTATTGATTTGGTTGGAAGGGGCCTCAAGCAAGTCATATATGAAAGTCATACTAGAAAAAAAACCTATGCTGTCGAGTCAGTTGTGACTCATAGCGACCCTATAGGACAGAGCAAAACTGCCCCGTAGGGTTTCCAAGAAGCGCCTGGTGGATTCGAAATGCTGTCCTTTTGGTTAGCAGCCGAACTCTTAACCACTACGCCACCAGGGCTTCCATAAAAGTCATATACTTCCCAAAGGTAACAATTCAGTGAAGATAATACATCAATTGATGTTGCCTGTGTAAAAATATTCGCCCGTCAGTTTGTCGTACTGTGGTGGCTAGCATGTTGCTGTGATGCTGGAATCTATGCTGCTGGTGTTTCAAATACCAGCAGGGTCACCGATGCTGGACAGGTTTCAACAGAGTTTACAGACTAAGACTAGGAAGAAGGACCTGGTGGTTTACTTCTGAAAAAAACAGGCCAGTGAAAACCTTATCAATAGCTGCGGAACACTGTATGATATAGTGCTGGAAGATGAGCTCCTCAGGTTGGAAGGCACTCAAAAGATAACTGGGGAAGAGCTGCCTCCTCAATGTAGAGTCAGCCGTAACAATGTGGATCAATAAAGCTTTTGGGACCTTCGTTTGTTGATGCCGCATGACTCAAAACAAGAACAGCTGCAAACATCCATTGACAGTAGGAATGTGGAATATACAAAGTATGAACCTAGTATGACATCGTCAAAAAATGAAATGGAATGTATAAAGATCAATATCCTAGGCATTAGCGAGCTGAAATGGACTGGTATTGGCCATTTTGAATTGGACAATCATGTGGTCTACTACGCCAGAAATGACAAAGAGGAATGGCATGACATTCATTTTCAAAAAGAATATTTCAAGATCTATCCTGAAGTACAATGCAGTCAATGATAGGCATATGGATATTATCCTATACACCTACAAGGAAGACCTGTTAATAAGACTTTTATTCCAATTTACATACCAAGCACTAATGCCAAAGACGAAAAATTGAAGATTTTTACCAACTTCTGCACTCTGAAATTGATCAAACATGCAGTCAAGATATAATGATAATTACTGGTGATTGGAATGCAAAAGTTGGAAACAAAGCAGGATTGGTAGTTGGAAAATATGGCCTTGGTGATAGAAACAACAGTGGAGATCCCATGATAGAATTCTGCAATGACTTCTTCATTACAAAATCTTTTAATAACATAAACAGTGACTATACACGTGGACCTTGCCAGACGGAATACACAGGAATCAAATCAACTACATCTGTGGATAGGGATGAAGAAGCTAAATATCATCAGTCAGAACAAGGCCAGAGGCCGACTGTGGAACAAACCATCAATTGCTCATACGCTAGTTAAGTTGAAGCTGAAGATTATCCAAGCAAGTCCATGAGAGCCAAAACACAACCTTGAGTATATCCCACCTGAATTTAGAGACCATCTCAGGAATACATTTGACGCATTGAATACCAATGACCGAAGACCAGACAGTTTGTGGAATGACATCAAGGCCATCATACATGAAGAAAGCAAGAGGTCATTAAAAAGACAGGAAACAAAAAAAGACCAAAATGGACGTCAGAAGAGACTCTGAAACTTGCTCTTGAATGGAGAGTAGCTAAAGCAAACAAACAAAGAAATATGAAGTAAAAGAGCTGAAAAGAAGATTTCAAAGGGTGGCTCGAGGAGACAAAGGAAAGTATAGTGAAACGTGCAAAGACCTGCAGTTAGAAAATCAAAAGGGAAGAACATGCTCAGCATTTCTCAAGAGAAAAGAACTGAAGAAGAAATTCAAGCCTTGAGTTGTAATATTGAAGGATTCTATGGGCAAAACATTGAACAACACAGGAAGCATCAAAAGAAGATGGAAGGAATACACAGTCACTTTACCAAAAAGAACTGATCAACATTCAACCATTTCTGGAAGTAGCATATGATCAAGAACTGATGGTATTAAAGGAAGAAGTCCAAGCTGCACTGAAGGGAATGGTGAAAAACAAGGGTCTAGGAATTGAGATGTTTCAACAAAGGGATGCAGTGCTGGAGGCGCTGCACTGAAGGGAATGGTGAAAAACAAGGATCTAGGAATTGACAGAAAAACAAGGGTCTAGGAATTGAGAGAATAACAATTGAGATGTTTCAACAAAGGGATGCAGCGCTGGAGGTGCTCACTTGCCTATGTCAAGAAATTTGGAAGACAGCTACCTGGCCAACCAACTGGAAGAGGTCCACATTTGTGCTCATTCCAAAGAAAGGTAATCCAACAGAATGTGGAAATTATCAAACAATATCATCAATGTCACACACAAGTATAATTTTGCTGAAAATCGTTATCATTCAAAAGTGGTTGCAGTACTACATCACCAGAGAACTGCCAGAAATTCAGCTGGATTCAGAAGAAGACATGAAAAGAGGGATATCATTGCTGATGTCAGACAGTTTGGCTGAAACCAGAGAATACCAGAAAGATATTTACCTGTGTTTTATTACTATGCAAAGGTGTTTGATAAGTGCCCAGAGGCACCCCCCCAACACACATTCTGCCAGTAAGCCTCAGCCCACAGGTGCTCAGCTTTCTCACTCCATGGGTCAGCTCCGCGAATAAGCGTCCAGAGACATCCCACTCTGCCAGCAAGCCTCCTGCCCAGAGGCACACTTCACCAGCAAGCCTGCTGCCCAAGGCACTCAGTTTTCTCACTCTGGGGGCTGGGAAGCCTACAGTGCCGTCTCTTGCCAATCTCCTGCTGGTCTGCTGGTTCTGCTGCTGTTCCTCTACCGCAGCTTCTCACCACTGCCTTACTGTCTCTGGTGTTACAGCTCTCTAGGAGGTTCTCAATACAGGAACCTTGGGTCCAAAGGACTCGCTCTGCTCCCATTTCTTCTTCTTGGTGGTGATGAGGTCCTCCCTTTCTGCCTCTAAGGTGCTCATTTTAAGCCTAGCAGAATGTTTTAAAACTGACCAATTGCCTTGGTAGGGCTCCATACAGCTTACTTGCATGGTCCCACCACCACATGGGTGCCATACACTTTGTTTGCCTTATTAGCAAGCTATCCACTCCCCTTGGTGGGCCACAATTACCTTATCTGCATAGTCCTACCCAATCACATGGGTGGGAGTTACAAGACCATGGCGAGAAAGGCCATATAAAAGCGATCCATCGCACTGCCCCTGCCCTAAGTTTTATCAGTTTTAAAACATTTATTTATTTAGCTTCAGAGGAATAGGTTTAAACATAGGAAATAAAATATGTTAGTTCACTATCTATATATTCGGAAATAAAATATGTTAGTTCACTATCTACATATTCTTCATCTTGGCCATGAGGTCTTCCAAGCTTTCACCAGAATCTTCCACAGTTACATCAGGTACAGAATCTTCTTGCTATCAACAGATAAGGGAAATACAGTGAAAAAATAACTACATAAAATTCTTAATGCTTAGGAATATATAATCAGTAAGCTTTAACCATGTTCAACAAATTTCTAAAGTTTATAAAGCAGATTTTTCTTAATAAATATGCCTTCTAATTTTTAGGAGAGACAATCCTTTAACTTTTCCTACAAGTCTTGATTTACAAGGCAGTGATTTCAGTTTTTGTGAGATCTCTACTAAATGGTATCTTTAAATGGTATTGTGGCTAAAACTATCAATACACAAAACTATCTTCATTTAATCAAAATCTATTATACTTAATCCATTAATGAGTGAACAAAACTATTTTGTCTGTTTTCAAACAGTTCAAAATGTGCTGTGTATGTCTCCATATTAACACTGAGTACCTCTCTCTTTCTCACATCTTAATGCCTATAGTGTAAAATATCTAAAGCAGGAAATACTGTATTGGTATTAAAAAATAGGATGAAGATGAAAGAAGAAAATAGGTATTTTCTCTTCTATCATATTTACTTATTTATAGATTTTAGAAATACCTTTCTTGGAATTGTATATGCCACTGTAATTCCTTCAGGTAAGTCAGGGACTGGACCTGAAGAATTTTTCAGTTCCTCTTCTGAAACCTCAGACACCAACTCAATACCTGCAGAATTAAATCTGATCTTATAACAGTTTTTAAGGAACTTAATTTAGTAAGCAATAATTATTCAAAATTTATAAAATATTATAATTACATTCACTGCCATAAAAGATTTTGTTTTATGATGCCATTTCAATTCATAAAAGAATTCCTACCCCACTCATTATCTTCATGTATTATTTTTTCCTCTTCTTGAACAATCTCCTGTTTGGGCAGTGCTGCTACTTTTTTCTGTGGAAATCAAATAGTATCAAAATGTTTTTACTCATTCTTAGTTCTCTGAAGCATTAATCAATAATTCAAATAGCTTTTTATCTTACTAAAATCAAGAAAGGACTTTGAACATATACTTATTTTCATTTTTGAATTATGGTGAATAAATTAAAACTTAAAAAATCTAGAGTCCATTTATCTTATACTCTAAATCTAAATCACTTTCTATTTTTTAAGTTACTGTCCTATGCGGTATGATGCTTCATACATTCTGACAGACTGACATATACCTTATATTCTTCCTGCTGCTTCCTGCAATTCCTGTCATCACACTGAGGATTTGGCTTCATGGACATAGTAGGAAAAAAATCCTGCATTGCATTGTATCCAAGGTAAAAACTGACTGTACCAAAATTTAACAGAAACCTAGAAAAACAAAGCAACAAATAAAACCATAAAAAAGTACTAGAAGAAAGTAACTGAATTTTTAAAAGATGACTTTATAGTAGGTAATGATTCTTATAGCATCCAATGCAAAAACCAAAATTTTTCTATCTTTTTACAGGCCTGGCTCATACTAGATACTTGAATATTTGTTCAATGAATGAAGGAAATAAAAGATTATTTCATCAACTCTAAAACACTTATTTTATGAACCACTAAGAAAGATAAAAATATCACCAATTAACTTGTCAACAACTTTAAGAGACATCCTGACTTTAGAGAGGTTAAAATGTAGGGAAAGTGTATCTTAAGAATTCCTGAAATACGGTACAAAATTTTATTTAAAAAAATATATATATATAAAATTTACAATACAGTGTACAATCTTAAATTTGCAGTTCAATGAATTTTAGCACAAGTCTTCACTCATGTAACCACCACCAGATCAAGATATAGGACTTCCCTAGTATCCCATTTAAAAAAAAAGAAAAAAGCTTCTGTATAGAGCAAAAGTCATGCACAAAAGATGAATGACAAAAGGAAAAATATTTGCAAATGCATGATCTTAGTAAACAAGGACTTATTAATCACTAAGGAAAGACCAAAAACTGAGAAAGGACATGAGCAGACAATTCACAGAAAAATATGTGCTCAACCTCCTCACAATAAATGTTGTTAGGTGCCACTGAGTCAGTTCTGATACACAGTGACCCTATGCACAACAGAAGGAAACTGCACCATCCTCACAATTGTTATGTTTAATCCTATTCTAGCAGCCACTGTGTCAATCCATTCCAGTCATAGTAGACCATACACCTGTCCAATTCAGAATGGCCGATACCAGTCTATTTCTGCTCACTAAAGCCTAGGATATGGAACTTTATGGGTTCCATTTCATTTTTGAAGACTTCCAATTTTCCTAGATTCATACTTTGTACACTTCACAGTCCTATTATTAATGGATGTTTGCAGCTGTTTCTTCTCATTTTTTGAGTCATGCCACATCAGCAAATGAAGGTCCCAAAAGCTTGACTCCATCCATGTCATTAAGGTCGACACTACCTCTGAGGAAGCAGCTCTTCCCCGGTCACATTTTGAGTGCCTTCCAGCCTGAGGGGCTCAACTTCCAGCACTATATTAGACAATGTTCCGCTGCTATTCATAAAGTTTTCAGTGGCTAATTTTTCACAAGTAGACTGCCAGTCCTTCTTCCTAGTTTGTCTTAGTCTGGAAGCTCTGCTGAAACCTGTCCATCATGGGTGACCCTGCTGGTATTTGAAATACTGGTGGCATACTTCCAGCATCACAGCAACACACAAGCGACCACGGTACAACAAACTGACAGATGCGTGGGGCACAATAAATGAGATACTCATTTTCCACCTATGAGACTGACAAAGATGAAAGAGCTTGATAATACCCAATGTTACCAACAGTGTGTTAGAAACGGGTACTTCTACACTGTGGTGGAAATGTACAACCTCTTGCAGGAGAAATCTGGCAATATCTATCAAGATAAATATTGCATGAACTTAGAAATTCCACTCGTAAAAATCTGTACTGTACAAAAATCTAATGTACCAAAACATATGCAATATATTGTCTACAGCATTGTTGATAATAGCAAAAAACTAAGTAGCCTAGGGACCATCAATGGAAGGCTGGTTAAATATGACACATCCTTAATAGAATACTTTGTAGCCATAATGTCTCTTCTTTTTTTGTACCATATTATAAAATGTTTGTTTAGTTAGGGCCTACTTAAGTTTGTATAAACTATTTGCTTATATATGAGATAGTCCCAGACTACTGCCTTCAGTGTTCTTACGTATGCTTTTTAGAATTTCTATGCTGGCAGCTGACACTTTTCACTGATATCAGGGGGCCTCCTTGTAACATGTACCTGTTTGTTCTTATAATATTGAAGTCCTAGGAAACAGTTAACTAAGCTTATTAAAAGTTGTAAAGTGAGAAAAAAATGGCCTGAAGGAGCTTTGCCTTTAATAGGGATTTTCAGTTAGCTCATAAACTCTTTGATGTTAATTTTAGCTGCAAATAAACTTTTTTCCTTCTTTTTAGTTATAGTTTAAATAGGTGTTAGTGCTGGATATGTTTCTGGATAGCACAGGTATTGCCATGGTTAGTGTTTAATCACCTTCAGATTATTCTTCCAATTCACGGCAACCCCATGTGTGCAGAGAGAACTGCTCCACAGAGTTTTCAAGGCTGTGACCTTTTGGAAGCAGACTGCCATGCCTGTCTTCCAAGGTGCCTCACTATGAGTCAGGATCAACTCAACAGCAACTAACACGATTATTTTTAGTAAGAGTTCAATCAAGATAGTGGAAAGCAATTGCTTTTATGTCTACATCTCCACCCTTTGGTCAAACCTGCAGAGATTTAAATCATTTGGTTAATGTTTCATAAATAAATACACCAGTACTGTTGCACCATTTTGACTCAAAGCAACCAAACAGGATAGAGTAGAACTGCCCCACAAGGTTTCCAAGGCCGAAAATTTTTACAGAAGCAGACTGCCACATCTTTCTCCTAGGAGCGGCTAGTGAGTTTAAGCTGCTGACCCTTTGGTTACAGCTGAATGTTTAAGCACTGCACCCACCAGGGCTCCTTATAGGGTCACTATAAGTCGGAATCAACTCAACGACAAAGGGTTTATTGTACCGTTTAACAAGAGCTATTCCAAATGCAGAGAGTAACTGATAATTCCTGTGTGTGTATATAAATTATACGTGTATCTATATATATATTACGTATGTATAATTTATAAATTATAAATGTACATACACAATATATCACATATATATATATACGCATAGTACATATGCATTGATACACGTATACACATAATTTATATATATACAAATTACATATATACATACACACATATATAATATAAATATATAAAAGATAATATGTAAAACTAAATTAAATACTTGGCTGGTAATTTCAGTTTTTGAAATTATTCATGAAATAAATTTATTTATATCAAAAACAGAAAAATCAGCCCTCACTTACTTTAACACGTTTTGTACCAAGATTCCAGCAACTACTCCCATAGTGGTAGGAAGACTAGCTGCACACACACCTTCTCGTTTCAGAGTCTTTTCATCGATATTTGCAGCAACTACAAGTGGTGGAGCACACTACATGAAAAAGAAATAAAAATGCATTTCAAAAGAAGGAGGTAAAATAGTATGAGATGTTCCAAATAATATTCCATCACATTCAAAGTGTGTTTTTCTTTGAATTGTAATATTTTCAATGCCTCTAAGAACTCTAATGAGCAGCCCTGGTAGTGCAGTGGTTAAGCAGTTCGGTTGGCACTTCAAATCCACCAGCTGCTCCCAGGAGAAAGATGCAGCAGTCAGTCCGCTTTCATAAAAATTACAGCCTTGGAAACCCTATAGGGCAGTTTTATCCTGCCCTATGGGGTCGCTGTGAGTCAGAATCAACACGATGGCAACGGGTTAAAAACTCTATACCTAAAAGTGAAAAAAAAACCCAAAATGAATAATGCATACCGCAAAACAAGCAGATTCTCCAGGAATTATGAGCTGTATATGCCCTGAAACTGCATTTTCACTGACTCCAGATTCCATCCATGTTTGTCCAAGTTCATTACAAGCCTTAGTAGAAATAGGTGAAAACACAAAAAGAACATAAAAGATCAAGAAGTAATTTACTACAAATTCTTTTGATGAAAAATTATGGTTTAACTAAATGGACTGCCATGTTTTTAAAAACTTAATTTTCGGAATAAAAGAGGAAAGTTATAAATAATAGAATTCCTTGGCAATTGAAGAGTAAACTGACAGCATTCAAGTAAGCAGTCAATAAATATCTAGTTTAATAGATATAATTTATTAAACTTTTGTCACATTAATGTAGAAATTCATTCTTCTAAAATAATTTCAGCAACAAAAACACCAAAAAATCAAAATGTCATTGGAAAAGTTAAAAACAATAATTCCCAAGAACAAACGTTCAGTTTTATTTTTGAGAAACCAAATTTTTAAGCAATTTATACTTAAAGTGGCAAATGTTAAAACCAATACTGGCCAAGAATAAGACCGTTTTACAAAATATTTATTTATTTAAAAAATTGTATATCAGAAGTATTGTGCTATTTTATAATTTCCTCTAAGGGAGTTCCTGAATTGTGCAAACAGTTAACACTCGGCTGCTAACTGAAAGGTTGGCAATTCAAGTCTATCCACAGGCACCTTGGATGAAAGGCCTGGTGATCTACTTCCAAAAAATCAGCCACTGAAAACCCTATGGAGCACAGCTCTATCTGAGCACGTGGGGTCGCCATGAGTCAGATAGGATCAACAGCAACTGGCTTGGTTTTATTAGCATAAGAGATTAAGATACAATATACTATATGCCATACCAGCAAGGCTAATTTCAAAAGTAGGCTTAGAAAACATTAAAAATAAATAGAACACATTATAAAAAGGCTTAAATTCAGGACTATTTTTAGGATGGGGAGTATATACTGAGAGAATGTACTGGAAAATAGATAAATCCATAAGTATAACATCTGACACAACAGGAATACTCACTGTATTTATTGTCATTCGAGCTTCAAAATTGTCCACACAGCTAAGAACTAGGTCAACAGGCTTTCCCTCTTGTAAACCACCATTACTAGGAAAGAAGAAAAATTTTATTCAAAAAAAAAAAAAACAAAATCAAGACACACAATACATTCTATTTACACTTTATTTATTCAGTCACACATTCTTTCATTAAATGTTTGAAAATAATTATAGTACATATTAAATATTAATAAAGATCTAGTGTTATCTTTAGCATTGAGTAACAATTATAAATACAACATAGATGCTACTGTAGTAGTACTTCTTGTATATGGAGTACAAGGGTGAAAGGAGTTAAAATCTGTTCAAAAAAGTTACTATTTCCCAGATTAGTCCAAAGGACTAATGGACCACAACTACCACAGCCTCCACCAGACTAAGTTCAGTACAACTAGATGGTGCCTGGCTACCACCACTGACTGCTCTGACAGAGATCACAATAGAGGGTCCCAGACAGAGCTGGAGAAAAATGTAGAACAAAATTCTAACTCACAAAAAAAGACGAGACTTACTGGCCTGAGAGACTGGAGAAACCCCAAGAGTATGACCCCCAGACACCCTTTCAGCTCAGTAATGAAGTCACTCCCGAGGTTCACCCTTCAGCCAAAGATTAGACAGGCCCATAAAACAAAGCGAGACTAAAGGGGCACAACAGCCCAGGAACAAGGACTAGGAGGCAGGAGGGGACAGGAAAGCTGGTAATAGGGAACCCAAGTTGAGAAGGGAGAGTGTTGACATGTCATGGGGTTGTTAACCATTGTCATAAAACAGCATACTGTACTAACTATAATGAGAAACTAGTTTGTTCTGTAAACCTTCATCTAAAGTACAGTAAAAAACAAAAAAAAGTTACTATTTCCCTATCACCTTTCACAGACTTTTATCATGCTTCACTACAAAAGTGAATATAATAAAAAAAATCATTGATCCCTCAAAAACTTAAACACAAAATTACCATATGACCCAGCAATTCCATTCCTAGGTATAAACCCACAAGAACTGAAGGCAGGAACACAAACAGATACTTGTTACACCAATGTTCACTGCAGCCAGCACGATTCACAATAGCCAAAAAGTGGAAACAAATGTCCTTCAACAGATGCATGGATGAGCAAAATGTGGTATATACAAACAAGGGAATTTTATTACTCAGCCATAAAGAGAAATGAAGTCCTGATACATGCTACAATGTAGATGAACCCTGAAAACATGCTGAGTAATAAGTCAGTAACAAACGGTAAATATTGTATGATCCCACTTGTATGAGGTATCTCCAATAGGCAAGTATATACACACCAAAGTTTATTAATGGGTACCAGGAGTAGAAGGGGGTGGGTAAAGGGGAAATTACTGCTCAAGAGGCACTGAGTTTCTGTTAAAGGAGATGGAAAAATTGGCAAACTGAAAGTGGTGATGGTTCACATGATGAACATAATTAATCTCACTGAATTGTACATGCAATAAATGTTGAAACCACAAAAATAATTTCTTTTAAAGCTAGCTGAAGGCAATTCATTATTTCTGCCACTCTGCAGAAAACTGGTTTCATACAGAAGTATAATCGAGAACACAGAACTTTCAATTGACAATCCCTTGTTATATCATTATAATTTACAGGGAGTTTTGTTTTGTTTTTTTAATTATTTTATTATTTTTTCCCCATACAAAAATTTATACATACATTGTAATATGACTCTAATTGCTCTCCCCATACTGTGACAGCACACTCCTCCTTTCCCCTCCTGATTCCCCATGTCCATTCAACCAGCTCCTAACCGTCTCTGCCTTCCCATCTCACCTCTGGACAAAAGCTGCCCGTTTAGTCTCTTGTATCTACTTGAGCTAAGAGGCCTACTCCCCACGAGCATCACTTTATGTCCCACAGTCCAGTCCAATCCCTGTGGTAGTTTTTGTTTTTTATTTTATTATTGTTTTTTTTGGACAATATATACTTTTTAATGAACTCCTCATATATAGAAAAAACTACTGGTTTTAGAAACAGAAAAAAATACTTATCAATCTACCAACTCACAAAGAACAAACAAATCTGTCTTGGAAGAAGTACAGCCAGAATGCTGCTTAGAAGCAAGGATGGTGAGACTTTGTCTCACATACTTTGGACATGTTATCAGGAAGGATCAGTCCCTGGAGAAGGACATCATGCTTGGTAAAGTAGAGGGTCAGCGAATAAGAGGAAGACCCTCAACAAGATGAGTTGACACAGTGGCTGCAACAGTGAGCTCAAGCATAGGGTCACCATGAATTGGAAACAACTTGACGGCACCTAACAACAAAAACTCACTGAATTAATCATCAGTAGATCTTCTAATAATTGTTTAACTGAGTTGGACACTGTACAAAAATTCATAAATTAATATTTTACCTTATTCTATCCATGAAATGTTGGAAGTTTTCTACTGTGGTGATATTGTAGTTGTGTACTTCAAAAAGAACATCAGGATTAATGTTCCTAAGAGGGAAAAGGGGAATGATTATAAAAGCTTCTAAGAAGAATGCAATAGGAGAAAGTAGGAAGAAAAAAAAGTTGAAAGAGCCAAAGAACAATTAATCAGTTAAAGAGGGAAATTCAACCTATTCAATGAAAATCCAAAGATGTCTCCTACTTTTGTCCCACTTCAAGGCCTATGTTCAAAAGTGAGTAGTGTGTAGACTGACACAAGGATTACAAAAACATTCCCACTCCAATTTGGGTCCATTTATATGCTGGGAAGTAAGCCTTCACCACATCAGGTAGCTACAGCTCCGCCTGACAGAAGAGCTTTTTCCTTCATTCAATTCAGTGCAAGTACGTTCGGGGACATAAAAAACTTCCCAATGCAGGGGTTGGCCCATGTGCCAAATCTGACTTGCTACCTGTTTTTGCACAGCCTGCAAGCTAAGAATGGTGTTTATGTTTTTAAATGGTTGAAAAACAATTCAAACAAAGAGTAATATTTCATATGTGAAAATTATATGAAATTCAAATTTCAGAGTCCATAAATAGTGTTACTGGAACACAGTCACACTCATTCATTTATGTATTGTCTACAGCTGCTTTCACACTGCAACGGCATGGTTGAATAAGTGACACAGAGACCATATGGCCCACAAATCCTAAAATATTTACTATCTAGCCATATAAAGTTTGCCAACCTATGTTAAAGAGGTAAGAGAATTCTTTATATAATCAAAACCTGAACTTCTATAGAGAAAAATTTAGGTCTATTTATATATTAGGTTAACTCATGCCCAAATATACGAAGTAAGGTTTCACTTACTATGGTCTTTAATTGCTATTCTACTTACCTCAAAGTATGTTCTGCTGCTTGAACTTTACTTAATCCTGCTTGATGAGGTTGGAAGAAAAGTCTATTCATATTGGCAAGTTCCACCTTGTCATAGTCAAAGAGTAGCAACTAAAATGAAAATAGTGGTATTCTGACGAAAAATCTACCAAGAAACAAACTAAAAATAACAGAGTAAACTAGCAAATTTAACAGTGGAAAGGTTTAACAGTTTGATAACTATAATACTAGCTAACTGTAAAACAGTACGTAATATGTATGAACTCATTTAATGCTCATAACATACGAGGTAAATACACAGATATCATTGTTAATCCCCGTTTTAGAAGTCAGGCAACTAAGGCACTTGCCCAAAGGCCACTCAGCTAATATGTAGTGGAAATGAGATTCCAATTCAGGCATTCTCAGTCCCAATGTCTGCACCCTAATTACAATGCTGTGCTGTTCTAAATGATTCATTGAGAAATTAATGTTCATTCAATTTTATTCCAATTTTTAACAATTGTGCCAAAATCCTATCTCATTCCAAGTTTTAAATATTATGCTAAAAGCCAAGAATCCGATAGAAAAATGAAATCTTTAAGTAAGATAAAGACAAATGCTGTAACTTAAAACTATCGTATAACCTGACTCTTTTCAAGTAAGACACCATATAAAGTCATTGCCATGGCTAAAAACATTGTAAATAAAATTATTAACCAATCAGCTGTCGTTTCCTGCTATATACTTAGGACTCTTTCAAACAGCGTTTCCCTCCCTCTCTCTCTTGCACACTCACACACACAATGTTTGCAATGATCAAACGATTCCATTTCTTATCAATAAGAAAAGATTGGACCCAATGATCTCCAAGGTCATTTCATGATCTAACATTCTGTGAATCTGTAATATAATTCCTCAGCACTCTAAATTTAACAACAAAAACAAAAATTAACCCAGCCTATAACATCTAGAAAACGCTCAATATCTATTGCTAGACATAGCAATATCTAACATAACAACTAACTGATCTAACGTAACAATATCTAACTTATGCCCTCTGTAGTAATTTTCTAACCCTACTGGGGTGGGTTCTGGCAATCTGTGCTAAGACTTTCAAGTGATTCTGGTGCATACTCAAATCTGAGAAGCACTGATCTCGATGATCTCTAATAACCCTAGTCAATCAGCCAGGGTACTTAAGTCAGCTATAAGTAATTGTTGGCTGGCCTTTGTACACTTCATGAAAGATATTAAAATTTTAATAAACACTTTTAGTGTAATTTTGGTGTTTTGTCTTTTCTATACTGATAAATGAGTAGCAATTTGAAACCATTTTCTTTTAAGAATTTAGGGCATGTGATAGACCAACATTAAAAAACATTGGTAACCTTTGTGGGAGAATGAACTTTTGCTTTATCTAGATGACAAATTAAAAGGTATATATAATTGTGGAATGATTATCTATTCAACCACTACATATCATGGACATTGGCTTTATAAATCTAAAATTGGTAGACTGAATGCTGTTATAAAAAGGTTATGTCTTCCCACCCATAATCCAAATCAATTCTAGAAAAAAGTTTTAAAAAAATCTAGAGCATTCTCCAGTTCAAATTAAAGAGTAAGAAAAATACATGCTTTCTAGTCTGTCTGGTATAGTCTAGTCTAGAATAAAGAATGTGTTTAATAAAACATGTGTAGACTGGAGAAACCCCGAGAGTATGGCCCCCAGACACCCTTTTAGCTCAGTGGTGAAGTCACTCCCGAGGTTCACCATTCAGCCGGGGATTGGACAGC